TGATATCTGCACCTCCCAGGTTCTCAGGAGTTTAGGCACGGGAATCTGAACTGTGAATAATTATCAACTCTCTGGACTACAGATTTTAAAGTGGCTAAGTCACTTGCCTGCTAACCAGACGGCTAGCGGTTCAAACCCACCAGCCACTCCTCGGAAGGAAGCTTGGGCAATCCTACTTCCGTAGTGATACTGCCTCGGAAACCCAAGGAAGGGTCGCTATGAGTCGGGGCCGACTCGACGGCACACAACAACAACAACAACAACAACAACATACCCATCAGATGAACAGAAAATTACAAAGTCTGAATTTAGCCAAGTGTGGCAAAGATGAGGAATGATGAGACTTTATAGACTATTACTGGGAGTTGGGGAAGGTCCAGGTTTAGCCTGAAGCCTATAACATTTTGGGGACTCTATTTATGAAAAAATGTAAAATTAAGTAGGGTCTTGGAAGGGGACCAAGCAAGTAGGTAGGGGTCCTGCACTGAAGCTTCATCAGCTTCCCACACCCTGGAGTGTGTAGATTGGAATAACCCTTCAGACAGAAATGTGGTAACCCCTGGGAAAGCTGAAGATGAGTATAACTCATGACCCAGCAAGTGAAATTCTCCATATGGTCCCAGAAGAAGCAACTTGTAACTAAAGAATGTTCTTCGCAATACCATTTGCAATGGCAAAGCAACAAATGAGATTCGCCAAAATGTCCATCAACATAATCAACTGTATAAACATGTAAAAATCTCAAAACATAGAAATGCATAAAAAGGAAACTACAGAACAATATATACAATATTATACTATTTTCATGATGATAAAAGCACATAAAACAAAGTTATGTGTAGTTCATAGATAGTTAAGTGTGCGGTAAAGGTGAAAACGGTGCTTGGGAGTAATGACTGTACATTCAGGCTATGGGTACTCTGGGGATGGAGGGCAAGGGAAAGGATGATAGTGGGATACACAGGGGGCTTAGATGCCACCCACATTCTGAATAATACAAACAAGTAATGCGAAATATTGATTTGACAAGGTTGAGTGGTAGTTACGCGGGTGCCCATAAAAAGTATCGCATACACTTTTTTGTAGTATTTGAAATATTTCGTAATTTTAAAAAAACTCTCTCAGGAGTAGCCACCGCCTCCTTGGGCCTTTTAATTCTCCACTCCTTTTCACTGAGTTGTGCAAATGGTTAACACACTCAGCTGCTAATCAAAAGGTAGGAGGTTTGGAAGAAAGGCCTGGTGATCTACTTCCCAAAAACCAGTCTCTGAAAACGCTATAGAGTAATGTTCTACTCTTGACACACATGGGGTTGCCATGAGTCGGAGTTGACTGGGCAGCATCTGTTTTTTTTTTTTTTCCCACCCACACATTGAGACCACATGCAGTTTTTTATACATGATCCACACAGAGAAAAACTTATGGTATAGTCTGCTCTATCTTCTCTCTTGTAAGCCCACCCCCAATCTAGAGAGTTGGAGATGACAAGCGAAATGTCCAGGCCTCTTGGGAAGTGGTGGTGGGGTGGCAAGGGCCCAGGTAGAAGTGAAACAACTTCTAAGATAGCTAAGAGGGAAATGATCTGAGGAAGGAGAAAGGATTTCTTTTTTAAAAAAATTTTATTGTGATTTGGGTGAAAGTTTACAGAGCAAATTTATTTTCCACACAGCACTTCATACACACTTTGTCTCATAATATTGACTGCAATTGCCCACAATGTGACAGCTCTCTTCCCACTTACTCCCTATAGTTACCTCTTTCCTGTGTCCTTTCCTATGCATTTCTGCACCCCCTACTGCCAAGCTATCTCCATGTGCAAACACTGCCTTTCTGTTCTCCATGATTGATCATTCTAAGGAGTATATCTATTTGATGTAAAAGTTCACCCTATATGCCTGTTTATTGTTTGGGTGGAAGCCACGGGAGTGAGTTCAGTTCCAGACCTGAAGGGTAACTAGGGGCCATAGTCTCAGGGTTCTCACCAGGCTCTGTCAGACCAATAAACCTAGTCTTTTTTTTTTTTTTTTTAAATGATTTTGAGTTTTGTTCTACATTATTCTCCTGTTCTATCCAACAGAAATGATTTCTTCTAGAAGAAGCTTTTAACTACTTCATTTCACAAAACTGCCCTGAAAGAGCAAGTTTCCACTAACAAACACATGGATACACGGCTCTGAGATTTCCTCCACTCTCCTGCCCCTTCCCCTTTCATTTGGATTGGGTGGGATCCTGCAGCCTCCCCTGCAGAATAACCCTGCGTAGCTGGATTGTTCCTACTTCCAGTAGCATTCCTTCTGGTGGTGTAGTGCCTAAGGCATTTGAGTGCTAACAAGAAGGCTGGTGGTTCAAACCCATTAGCCACTCCTCAGAAGGAAGATTGGGTGATCTACTGCCATAGGGATACCACCTCAGAAACCCAAGAAGGGGTCACTGTGAGTCAGATCCAACTCAATGGCAGTAAGTTTGGTTTTTGTTTTTGGTTTTAAGAAGAGGCACAGTGCTGGGAAGCCTTGCATCTATGAGGCTAGGCCTATGACACCTGCCCATAATCTGAGCCCAATTCTTGTGAGGGAAAGAGGAAGGGGTGTATCAGAGTCTTTTGCAAAACCATGAAGCCCAGGTAACACATCCTGTCCACGATTCTTGCTATTATCTCCCCAAATAGCTACAGACATAGAGTAGGCCACTCATTAGAGCAATTTGAAAGACACCCGGAAGACCTTTTTGTTTTTTGCTTAAAAATCTCTCTCTCCCATCACATTACCTCTTTGGTCATGAAACTGCCTTTTTAAATACACCAAGATCTGAGGGAATAACTCATCAGTTATTCTCAAGTTGTGGACATTGTATGTTCATTTTCAGAAATCCAAATGCATGCAAGCACAAGCTAAGAGCTGATAGAAACACCCAGAAAATCCATTTGGGAACAGAATGTTCCAGTGGGTGCTACAGGGCTCAGGGGTATGAAACATTCCTGTGGGGGGTGGGGAGTGTCTGTACCTGCCATGTGCTTATAACAGCTGGCTACTACTATTCCAGGTTTTGCCTGGCAGCCTTGAACATGGAACAAACCCTGGCCAGGAGGCAGAGTACCTGGCTGAAAAGCTGGCTGACCTTAGGCAAGCCCTTGCTCATTCTGCACCTGGGTGTCTGTGGTGGTTAAGTTTGTGTGTTAACTTGGCTGGGCCTGGTTGAGTGGCTGGGCAGCTGAATGTAGTTATTCCCCATAGTGAGATTGGTAATTAACTCCATGGTAGAATCTATTGGAGCAGCTGAGTAGCTGCTTTGGGTATGTAGTCTGCTTCATGTATATTAGAAGCAGCTTTGGGAATGGTCTCCAGCTTGTGGCACACTTGAACCCTGTATGTAGCCGAGTCGTTGTTTAGCTGCCTGCCATGCTCTGCCGATCTTGGGACTTTTAATGGACTTGAATTAATGGCCTGCTGTGTGGTTTGGTAACACTGAGACTGCGCCTTCTTACTTGTCAACCTTGGGCTTGTCAGCCTCAGCAGCCAGCAGCTGAGTGAAGAAAAGCCTCCAGCTTCAGTGGACTGGGAGCAGGAGGCAGAGCTGAAGCCTAAGGTTGAGGGGCTTTCATCCAGCCCCTAGAGCCTGGCACTTTGAACTTGGACTTAAAGCCTCCAAGCTGTAAGAGAATAAATTGTTTGTTAAGGTCATCCCATTTGTGGTATATTCCTGTCAGAGTGGCACTAGGTAACCAGAACAGTATCCTTGTCTATAAATGGTGGGGCTAGACTCAGTGGTTTCCCAGATTTCTTCCAGATGTCATTTCCTTGACTCTAGCTATCCCCAGGATTTGAAGTCACTCCAGATAGGCCTAAATTTGGGCTCAACTCTGTCCACAAGTTCAATGATACTTATGCTTCCTCTTCTCCCAAACCCTCCACAGATGATGTCCACACCTCCATTCCCTTTGGCTTTCACACCTTCCTGCCTCCAGTCAGACAAGAAGTTGGGGTCTCGTTTTTAAATAGCCAGGTTCTGGCTTTTTCTTTCCCAATGAACTCTTCAAGAAGCTGCTTCTGTGGCTGGAGCCCAGGAAAAGATGTCCTGGCGGCTGCAACTGCACCACACCCATAGCATAAATAAAACACACAAACACCCATCCCTGGTAAGGGCCAGTGGCCCCCAAGGAGCTAAGGGTGAAAGAGGTTGGAAGCCTCCCCACATAAAGAGCACTTTACCAGGAGCCCACATTAGGAAGCATTTTCCCATAGTCACAGGTAGCCGCTTCAGGCTCCCGCAGGCCAGCCGGAAAAACCACAGGTACCAAGGCCTTCCTACAGCTCAAGGTCAGCCAGGGCACAGGGACCTTTCCTGCCAGTCTTCTCAACACCTCCTCCACCTCCTCCACACAGGGCAGAATGACTGCAGTGGAACAATGACCTTTATTTTTATCATTCCCAGATCAAAGTTGTCCCAGATATATTTACTAACTAGAAACTTTAAAAGACCAGAAGAGAACAATATGATTCAGCTCTTCCTATGACACCCACCCTGTCGCCAAACTTCGGTTAGTAATGCTCAGGCTTCTTTTGCTGATTTTTTTAAACGAGATCAGGTCATAGGAAAAATTTGGCCACCCCTACTAGGACGTTGCTGTCCAACAAGGGCGAAGCGCGGCGCGGAGATGAACTTGCTCTGCGCTGCTCAGGCGAAGTAAGTCCAGGTCCACGGCTTTGGGAACTGGTGCCCAACAGATGGACACTGACCGGTTCCTAATATCTGACCCATGTTTCAAATTAGGTTTTCCACCCAACTCCTGGCGACTGTTTCCTTCACAGTCATCGGTCTAGAAAGGGCTAAACAACTCAGGGGAGGGGGCTTTCCCGAGCTAGTTCCTTTAACCCACCCCTATCCCGATGCTCCAGCGACCCTCTCAGCTAACGCATCCCGCTCAGACCGCGATGCGATCGCCCAGAGGGAGCGCCTGGAGCAGCCCATCCCCGACCTGAGCGCGGGGCGTGCGAACCACTCACAAACTCGAAGATGAAGAGCAGGTCGGGGAAGGTTGTGAGGACCGCGAAGTCTCTGGGCAGGTTGCTGCCACCCGACGCCGCTGCAGGGGCCATGCCGGCGGGCTAGGGTCGGCCTCTGGACGGGACGCGCGCGGCTCGGGCTCCGGCTTTGCGCTGACCGCTTGCTTGCTGTGCACAGCCCAGTGACCCGGGCGCCCCCGCGAGCGGGTTAAGAGCTGGGGGAACCAGGGGCAGAGGAGGGAGGAGCCTCAGCCACCGCCCGCCCCCTCCCCTCCCTAGTGGGCAGTACGCGCCCCAGGCAACCGGGTCAGAGAGCCACGGGCGCAACCCTGAAGCACAGAGAGGGCGCGCCGCCGGCGTTACTAACGCGGGAGGACACCTGTCTCACCTCTGTGTCCCCCCTCCCAGAAGAGGGGAAAAAATTTAGGCTTTACGCTTTGCAGGAGTTAGAAATCTCATAAAAAGTATCGAGGGTGATAGCTGTTTAAAAACAAAGGAGAAAAAGAATAAAGAAATTTCTGGTCTAGGAAAAGAAAAGAAAAGAAAAGAAAAAAAAAAAGCAAAGTTCATGGAGGGGAGGGCTCCAGCAACCGGTTGAGGCGCCAGGCTACCTTCTCTGAGAAGGGGGTAAATTTCCTCTGTTGATGGCCCTTCCAGTCCCGTGGATTCGATCCAGACCTGCCACAGCACCACCACCACCAGCCTTTTTCTGGGACTGGCAGTGGCAAAAAGGAGTCTCCTGCTGAGGCTAAGCAGTTCCAGGAGCACCTTTCCCAGAGCCGGATCCACGATGCGGGAAGAAAGGGTCGGTGGCCAGAGCGGGTCTCAGGGCCGCCTCTACAGACCCTCAGCCGGCAGCCTCGGGCAGGACTGTAATCCACTGAGAACTCGGACGCAGATAAACACACCCAGAGGAAAGACGAAGAGACCCAATTTAAGAACAGTTAAAGCGATGGCGACTAGAAGGGTGCCACGGTGGGAGGTTTCAAGGACCCCGTTATTAATGGTTATTATTCTCTGGTAGCATAGTGGCTAAGACGCTTGCCTGCTAACCAGACGGCTGACGGTTCAAACCCACCAGCCACTGTTCGGAGGGAAGGTTGGGCAATCCTACTTCCGTAGTGATACTGCCTCGGAAACCCAAGGAGGGGTCGCTATGAGTCGGGGCCGACTCGACGGCACATAACAACAACAACAACAACATTCTTAAGGGATGGATCACTTGTGAAGTGGGCAAAACATGGGAAGCGCCTAGCCAAAAATGGTTTTTTCCTGCCTTTGGCGGAAGGTGGAATCCCACGCAGGCCTTCGTAACTGGGGGAGGAGACCTATCCCACCTTCGGGTCTCACCTCTCACCGTGGCACCCTTCGGGTCGCCATCGCTTTAACTGTTCTTAAATTGGGTCTCTTCTTCTTTCCTCTGGGTGTGTTAATCTGCGTCCGAGTTCTCAGTGGATTACAGTCCTGCCCGAGGCTGCCGGCTGAGGGTCTGCAGAGGCGGCCCTGAGACCCGCTCTGGCCACCGACCCTTTCTTCCCGCATCGTGGAGCCCGGCTCTGGGAAAGGTGCTCCTGGAACCTCTCGATCTCCACGGGAAACTTCTTTTTGCCGCTGCCAGTCCCAGAAAAATGTTGGTGGTGTTGGTGCAGTGGCAGGTCTGGATGGAATCCAAGGGACTGGAAAGGCCATCAATGGAGGACATTTATCCCCTTTTCAGAGAAGGTAGCCTGGCACCTGAGCCGGTTGTTGGAGCCCTCCTCTCCATGTCCTTTGCCTTTTTTGTTTTTCCTTCTTCTTTTCCTGGACCAGGAATTTCTTTATCCTTTTTCCCCTTTGTTTTCAAATAATTATCACCCTCGATACTTTCCCTCAGATTTATCTCCTGCAAATCCTAAAGCCTCACATTTGCTCCTGTGCCCTGGCATGCATAGAGGAAAAGGGCCACTCAGCCCCCAACTCAGACTCCCCGGGCACTTTCTTCTGGCTTCACTTATAGCTGCTGGTAGCAGGGTAGAGTTCCCTCTCTGAAGTGGGACTGTCCCCCTTTCCCTTCTAAACAGCTCTTCTTCCTCCCTAGTCTCTAAGGAAGAGCCTGTGAATTTGAGGGTGTATTTTCCAAAGCAAAATCCATGCCCATGAGCTGACCATTACGACATTTATGCTGGATGTTCATCTTCCTGACTGGATTCTATCCTCTGAAAGGCATCCTGCTCCCTTCCCATCTGCCTGTCTATCATATCCTTGACACCTAATTGAAGCCCCAGCCCATGGTAGGTGCTCAGACAGCAGTTGCTCAAAGCCAACATGGACTGCAGCTTGTCCTGACCACAGGAAGAAACGGAATGACCTCGTTTGAACATAAAGAGTAAGTAAAGGTGGGTCCGTCTTCATTTTACAACAGAGCTTCTCCAGGTTGCTCTGAGACAGTTGCTAATGATTGGGGCTGTTCATATTTGTAAGAAGTCCAAGACCTTACTTTCAGTTCCATGAAACCAAAGCCAAACACACTATCATTGAGTCATGATTCATAGCAATCCTATAGGACAGAGTAGAACTGCCTCATAGGGCTATAAATCTTTACAGAAGCATATTGCCTCATCTTTTTACTGCACATCGGCTGGTGAGTTTGAACCACTAAACTTTTGGTTAGCAGCTGAAGGCTGCTCCACCACAGCTCCTTGGAAAAATAACCTGGAAGAATAGGTAGAGCACAAGGCATTTTTAGAGCAGTGAGACTATTGTGTATGGTATTGTAATGGTGGACACATGACATTATGCATTTGTCAAAACCTATAGGATAGTACAGGAGTTCTGGTGGCGTAGTGCCTGAGGCATTTGACTGTTAATCAGGAGGTTGGCAGTTCAAACCCAACAGTTATTCTGTGGAAGGAAGACTGGGCAATCTACTTCTGTAAAGATTTACTGCCTTGGAAACCCAAAGGAGGTCACTATGAGTTGGAAGCAACTCGATGGCAGTGAGTTTGGTTTTTTGGTTATAGGATGGTACAATACAAAGAGTAAACCCTACAGTAAATTAAGGACATCAGTTAGTAAATGCTTCGATATTGGTTATCAGTGGTAACAAATGCACTTCATAAATGCAAGATGCTAATAATGGAAGAAACTGTGGGCAGGGGAAGGAGTATTTGGGAATGCTGTACTTTCCATATAATTTTTCTGTAAATTTAAAACTGCTTGAAAAAAAAAAGTCTGTTAATCTAAAAAACAAAACCCAAAAATAAATGAACAAAAACCCCAGTCTTACCCAATAATAACTCATTGCAATATCCTCAGTCTTCGCAGCAGCACAGTGGGTGTGAATGTCATGGCCAATCTGATAGGCTGAGGTGGGTTTCTGTTAAAATAATAACATGCCTTGGGCAGGTTAGGAACCCAATACAAAGTAAAACTAGAAAGTGATGATTGTTGTGTGAGTCCAAGGGAGGAAAAAGTCCCCTCCAGCTTTTGTATGTTGTGGGAAGGGAGACTATTGAGGAGGAAATGGTTGAGGGAAAGGGTAAGTAGCTGCCCAAGGCTGCACAGCTCATGAGTGATGGAGCTTGAACTTGAACCTGAGTGCTACTGTGCTTCCAAAGCTGCAAGTACTGATTAAGACCATGCTCAAGATGGGCAATTGCTTATTAAATGGCATGTTCTGTGGAGACCATCAGCAGTCTCTCAAATCCAGTCTTGATGTTCATCTCAGCCATATGCATTGCACATTTGCTTCCTGAGACATCCTGGTCTGGCTGACAGGGCCCCAGATTGGGAACCCAAAGGAAGTTGGTGGTCATCATTCCCACTTATGGATGAGGAAGTGAGGCACTTACCCAAGGAATTTTAATTTTGGCATAGTGCCTAAGGCATCTGACTGCTGACCAGAAGGCTGGTGGTTCAAACCCACCAGCCACTCCTCAGAAGGAAGATTGGGCAATTTACTTCCTTAGTGATTCCGCCTGGGAAACCCAAGGAGGGGTCTCTATGAGTCAGATCCAATGGGAGGGCAGTGAGTTTGGTTTTTGTTTGAACAGATACTTAACCACACCTACTGATTTCCGTCCACAGTATGAAGCAACAATGACACCTGCTGGGTGGATGGATGAATGGCAGTCATGCCGCCTGGGCCTCAGGAGGACAGAGGGAAGCACCTCATGAGTGCCTACTAAGTGCCCAGCTCTGCAACAGGCATGTTGCCCACATGTCCTCATTAAATCTCACAGAGCCTTTCTGGTAGATGTTTCCCACCATACAGGCTCAGAGTGGGGAGGTGACATGCCCAGGTCACATGGCAGGCAATCAGCAGCACCCCAGTTTTGGCAATCGGGGTCTCTTGATTCCAAAAGCTATACTCTGTCTCTACTGCCTCTGAGCTTGTTGCATAAAATCCATTTGAAAACTAGACATGGTGGTTGCTCACCAGAGAACTGAGCTATGAAGGCAATTTGATGAGCTGATGAGGCAGTGTGTCCCCTGCTGCATCTGGTGGCAATGTGGCACAGCATGCAATTGTTGTCTTCCTTAAACTCTTCTATGTTTTCTCTTCATGTTTTCTCGGACCAGGGAGACTTGACCCTCTGCCACTGCCTTGGAAAGCCATCACTGAGCTCTGAGATTCTGAGCACACCTCAGGGACTGGCATTGCTTGAGTGTTGTGGGGGTTGGGAGTGAGAGGAACTGGGAGTAGGGGGACAGAGTCCCTGCTCTCTGGGAGAATTCCATCCAAAAGAGAAATCACATCTGGAGTCTTCTGAGTCTTGGTCTTCTCTGGGCTGGGCCTGCACTAGGTGCTTGCCAATCACTGCAGGCCAAGACTGAGGGATGAAACATGCGTAAGTCTTTCTACAAGGTTAAGGTGGAGCAGTCTCCACTTCTGAGTGCCTCTTGGGGGTGGCCAGCACTGAGCCTGCCCTGAAGATATAACTATAAAATGAATGGAGACCCCTGTCTCCATTTGTATCCAATCAGTAAAAATTCAGTAAGTGCCAGGTTGAGGGGCTACCCTGGGGGCAATATGGACATGATTTCTGTTTCATCATTGCATGTAGGAGACAGTTATCAGGCAAAAACCACACAATAAATGTCTAATTACCAAC